TATATACCTACCCAGGTCGAAACTGAGCCATCGGACTCTGTCGGACCTTTCTCAATCCGATTGGGTCTCAACTGATTCTTATAATTATGAATGACTTCTCAGACTGAAAATTAATTCTGCTCCGAGTATAAGAATTGTAGAATTAAGTCAATTAGAATATTGCACAAGACTAGCGTTTTGAATATCTAGCCAAATACATGATTTTGACACTCAATTTTGTGATTAGTGGACACCAAATACTGTTCACCTATCCAAAAAACATTTATAACAGCTATTCAGACAGAAAGTAATTGCTCATATTATAATCTGCTGACGATGTCAATGAGGATGTTGGTGTGGAGTATGGATGTGTATGTGAATATGAGTGTGACACTGTTGTCTTCTTTTGCAGCTGCACCCACACCTATGCACACGCCTACACCCATATCACACCCATCCCGAAAGTAAATAAAGAAAGTTAGAAAAGAAGTCACATTAGACCACTCCGTGTTTGGTGAACATGTGTTTTTGTTATAGATGAAATAAGGGAAAAGATGTGTTTGGTGCAAAATCACTTGGCTGCGATACCTCTAGAAGATATAATATGGACCCTTTTGGACTAGAAAAAAAATCATTTGTAGTTTTCACGAAAACTTTTCCACTGCAAAATCTCATACAGGCTCTACCACTTCACGATATCTACATCGGTACAGTAACGTACGACAAGCCCTCATAAGTTTCGTACGGGACCTTTTTTTCAGTGTAGCTGCACTATATTTAATTCACATACTCAATGTAACTGCTGAGAAAAAATAAACTCGAGACACCGTCAATTGACTTGTATTTGTGACTAAATAACAATTCTCTGCTCGTCATTGCTCAAATGCTTTTCTAATTCGTAATGTGAATTCTTCTCTTTCTGTAGCACCCCAGGACGAGCATTACAACAATCGTAAACGATCGTATACGACGTCGTATACGATCGTGAACGGTCGTATACAGTGTACATTACGATCGTATACGACCGTGTTTCGCCGTATTACTTGACACCTGAATTACGGCCGTATATCGTCGTGTCGTATACGACGAAATACGACGTGTATACGACCACCGTAAACGGTCTCACACAGTCGTATACTATGTCGTTTTTCATCGTATTTCATTCAAAATTTTGCCACCTAGCGCCCCCCCCCCCCCCCTTTGACTTTCCAAAGATGAAAAAACTAAGGCCATATACACACTAGAAAAAGTGAATTAACTTAAGGTTGAATTAATTAATTCAACCTTAAGTTAATTCACTTTTTCTAGTGTGTATATGACCTAATTCGTTAGGGTGTCAAGTCTCACTAAACACCCCCATTGAATAACAGTTATACTTTACTGTTTTATTTATTCTTTTCAATAATCTAAAAAATTGAAAAATAAATTTATTTAATCTGAAAAAATAAAAAATAAAATTTATCTAATCTAAAAATAAAAGATAAAATTTAATTAATCTAAAAATAAAAAATAAACTTCATTTAATCTAAAAAATAAAAAATAAATTTATTCCATCTAAAAAATAAAAAAATAAATTTATTCCATCTAAAAAAATAAAATTTATTTAATCTAGAAAATAAAAGCTAAAATTTATTTATATCATCAATATAGAAAAATGAAAAATAATATTTTCTGTATAACCCATAGAGAAAAATTAAAAATAAAGCAAGCTGCTATCTATATCACCAATATACAAAAAAATAAATTAAAAATCTGATTTTCTATATTATTGGTATAGAAAAAAACCAATAAAACTAACTGGTATCTATATTACTAATGTGGAGAAATAATAATTAGGATTTTCTATATAATCAATATAGAAAAATTAAAATTAAAACTAACTGATATTTATATTACCAATATAGAAAAATAAAAAAAAAATGAAAATCAAGATTTTCTATATTAATGAGATACAAAACTAAGACATGAAAGTAACTGTTGTCCATATTAGCAATATAGAACAAGAATAGATAGAAATTAAAATTTTCTATATTATCACTATAGAAAAATGAAACATTACAATTAGGATTCTCTATTTTATCAAATATAGAAAAATTAAAATACCATTTTCTATATTATCAATGTAGAAAATCAAAAATAATAAATAAGATTTTCTATACTACCAATTTAGGAAAATAAGAAATGAAAACTAAGATTCTTATACTATTGATTTAGAAAAATAATAAACAAAAGTAACTGTTATCTATACTGCCAATATAGAAAAAAAACAAATAAAACCAACTATTATCTGTATTGTCAATATAGAAAAATAAAAAATAGAAGTTAGCATTTTCTATATTATAATTTTAAAGAAACAATACAGAAAACTAACTGTTTCTATATCATCAATATAGAAACAGTATATAGAAAGTCTGATTTTCTATATTATAAATATAGAAAATAAAAACCATAAAACTAACTGTTATCTACCTTACCAATACAGAAAAATCAGAATCAAAACTAACTGTTATTTATATTATCAATATAGAAAAGATGAATTGAAAAATAAGATTTTCTATATTATTAAACTAGAAAAATGAGAAGTAAAAATGGGATTCTTTATATCGCCAAAATAGAAAAACAAGAAATACAAATAGGAATTTCTATACTACCAGAATAGAATAATGAAAAATAATGAATAAGATTTTATATAATATGAAATATAGAAAAATTAAAAGTAAAAATTAAGCTTTTCTATATTATGACTATAGAAAAATAAAAAATGAAAATTAGGATTCTGTATATTATCAAATATAGAAAGATTAAAATTAAATTACACCTTTTCTATACTATCAATTTGGAAAAATCAGAAATGAAAATTGACATTTTCTATATTATTAATATAGAAAAATAAGAAATGAAAGTTAAGATTTCTGTATAATCACTAGAGAAAAGTACCAAAACAAACTAGGTGCACGGATTGATCTTGTTTTTTTAACTACTATTCTTCACAGTAAAACTGATCGAATCGACAATTTCCGGATAAGTTAAAGAACAGGAGAGACCATACACATTCAGCTAAGAACAGAAAGGATCCACATTATGTTCTGTTATGTTTCTTTTTACATTAATCTCCTATGATCTGATAAGATCTCACAAGAAACATTCAGCCGGTACTAATAGGTTTCTTAATATTTAAATCTTGTAAGAGTTTTGCTGGCATCTTATGGTCAAAATCTGAGGAAATCTTCAAACAACGAACACATATGACATCATATGATCTTGTGACAAGATCATAGAGAAAATCTTATAAGGATGAGATCTTATCGGATTTTGCATGATTTGTTGTCAGGTTTTTGACCTGAGCAGATTTTGATTGTACAGTGTCACCAAATAATCTTATGAGATTCAAAGATTAAGACTCTTATAGGGACAGACTCAATGCTTCCTATCAAATCTCTTCAAACCACAAAAGGTTCATACAAAAAGGAACATACATCAGTACCTACTGAAGATCTTATCTATCCTTATCCGATCGTGTATGATGTTCCCTGTTCTTTATTTATTTGAGAATTGTTGATTCGAGTAGTTTTACTACGAAGAACAACAGTTGAAAAACACGATCGAGTTGTGCACACAATTATTTTTCTTATTTTTCTATACGAACAATAAAAGAAAATCTTATCTTGGACCTCTTAATTCTCTATATTGTTAATATAGAAAATCTTAATTTTAGTTTTTTATTTTTTTATGTAGGTAACATAGAAAATTTTAACTTCAATTTTTTATTTTTTTATGTATAGGTAACATAGAAAACAGTACTTTTACTTTTTATTTTTCTATAACAATAATATAGAAAGTGGTTAAGTTTATTTCTTTCTTTTGTATGTTAATAATACAAAGAATATTAATTTTTATTTTCTGCTTTTCTATATTGGTAATATACAAAATCTCATTATAATTCTTATTTTTCTATACTATTAATACACATAACAGTTAGTTTTATTTCCTATTTTTCTATAATAATAATATAGGAAATATAAATTTTCATTTCTTTTTTTTCTATACCCTGAATATAGAAAATCGCATATTTACTTTTTATTTTTCTATAGCAATAGTATAGAAAATGGTTGATTTTATTCCTTAACTTTCTATATTAATATTATAGAAAATCTCAAATTTAATTTTTCATGTTCGAGAAACTTGATGTAAGACTTGACATCAGATTTCTGAGACAACAATTTTTCGTATGATTTTCCGTAGGATCTCGTATGATCATATACAATAGTTTGTAAGATCTAATAGAATCATACAAAAATTCATGACCGATCTTTCTATATGATTTCTCGATGTGGAAACTGTAACGATAAAATATGATATCGTGTATTCAACTGTCTTTATTTCAATCTATCCATTCCTTTTATATTTCTCTTTCCTTTCCACGCGAGTCAATCAACCGTGGCGGAAAGAAGAGAAGCAGCGAGAGAAATAAAGAGACACAGAGAGAGAAATAAAGAGACACAGAGAGAGAAAAGAAAGAGAGAGAGAACACACGGGAGAGACAAGATATACATACAGGGATAATTATGCACACAGTTGTTCACTAAGATAGAACATGTGCCTATCTCGGCACACCCCCCCATTTTGCCAAGACGCACTCCTGGGCGTCTGTTTGAGGGATACATAAGGACGCAATTTGTTTAACGAAGGTCTTCTTCGTGGCGCTGTTTAAGTCTACGTACACACACCCGAAGAAGAGAAAAAGAAGAACATCAAAGGGATATGATAAACACCAGAACACACAAAAAAAAACAAAAAAAAAGATATAGAAGAGATAGACAATGTGAAAACGCCAGTAATCAGTGGGACAGCACACTATTAATAACAACCTTTTTTTTTTTTTTTTTTTTTTTACATGCAATTTATTCACACTTTACATACATGACTATCTTCGAGCCTAGCTCGGTTATATATTTACAAGTCTCGGCGATCGACGTTTTCTTCTCAGTAGTTGGTGTTGTTGAAGTTATATTGACAATCGTTCATATTGGTGGCATCGTAATTATCTTAGTTGTTGATGCCTTGCTCACTTTGCCTCGTAGCTTCAGGTATAGAACTATTGAGGTGATAGTTGTTACACCTACTATACCTATAGCTATTGATAATCCATGTTGATAGAATGATGTTGTTGATTGTATCGGCGTTGGTGTTGGTGTTGTTGTTGTTGCTATCATATATTCGAACATATTCTTTATATCTCCCGGAATGTACGGGATTTTTTCCCATCGTGTATTATTGTTCATTGTTTGGTGTAGATTGATTAAGTTCGAATCATCGTAATTTAATTTTCTGTCATCAATGATTGTAATCCGTTTATCCGTGCCATTTGTTATACTTGGTAAAAGGAAGTGATCACAGCTCCATGTTGTTGATTTATCGATGGTGATCAATGAGATTGGAGGAATGGTTATTTCATTGTTCGTTGTTATAGCATGTTGTTCGTGCTCTAATTGTGGGACCCGGTGACACTTTGTTTCATTTATTGTCGATATTGCCCATTGTTGGCCAATTCGTTGTATAAATATTGGTTCCGGTTCAAGTTCAATGCGACATAACGTCAAGTTTGCGTCGGTAATTATCTCGAATAAGCATGTCTTCTGCCAATTTTTTTGGATTGCTGGTGTTTCACGGCACGACGATAGTAATTTAAATTGACATGAACCGCTTTCTTCTTTTGTCCATCGAATTAGTTCTAATGTTTTGGCTGAGATGCTAACAATATGTGGCATTTGTGCGAGTTTTAATCTCTGGTTTCCTTGGTTAAAAGGTATTGGAATGAGTTCGTATGTTGAGAATGATTGTTGGTTCTTGTTTGATGATGCAAAAAATGATGTAAATAACAGGTGACCGATCACACTTCGTTCTGTTGATTCATTGATGTTGCTTGGAATGAATTCAATTCGTTGTTGTATTAATAATCGATTAATCAATTCGAATATTGGCAGTGTATCGTCCGTTTCCGCCATGTTTATATGGATTTGTTCTGTAATGATTTGTATAACTCGCGGTAAGTCGTAGTGATGTATAAATCTTAGATTAAGTTTGTTGGCGAAGATGTCTTCGATGGCCTCGTGGATGAAGTGAGTTTCCACTGCGTGAGTCACAGCTGTTAACTCCTTTCTGAGGAGCCTCATCATTGACATCAGTGTTTGAATCGCTATGTTATGTTGTTGCAGTACATTTGAATGTTCATTTACCAAAACAATGGTGTTGTTCAAGGCGGCCTGTGTGTGATGTAATTCTTCTATAATTTTAACTTGACCTTTGGTCAGTTGAAAGAGTTGGGTGTTGTGGCCGTTCATTGAGTTTTGTAGTGTGCGGATCGATGTTCTGTCCGCTTTTACTTCCTTCTGTAGGTTATTCATTTGTATTATGTTGCCGGCTGATAATGCCGTTGAAGCTGTTCCAATAGCAATTGAAATAATGTCCATGATGAATCGTTTATTGCGTGGCTGTATTGTATCCTTTTTTCTTTCCTGCTGTTGTATAACGTTTGTTTTTGTTCCACGTTCATTCTTTTCTTGTTTTGTTTTTATGTTGCACTGAGGAATTTTTTTCATGGCTTTCAATGGTATTATATAGCACATGTCGCTCACCATGGGAATTGCTATTGAAATGGATGTTACGTCGTTTGCTGGTTTATATTCCGATAAATATTTCATTATAAGGCCCGATGACTTGTGTAATGTATCATGTTTGGGCAGAATAATTGTCGTTGCTGTAACAACTTGTATAATACATATTGCCATTAGGATTTGCATCGTCGTGTTGTGTTGCATCTTCTTTTAACTAAGTTATGAAATGTACCTGGCGCTTGTTAATGGAGAAATAATCCTCCTCCTCCTCCTTCTTCTTCTTCTTCTTTTTCTTCTTTTTTTTTTTTTCGAAGTGCATCGATTCGATTCATTGGTTGTTTAATGATAATTTCGTTTCTTTCGCTAGAAGCGATTGGTTTTCATGGTTGACCGCGTAGATATATATGTATATATATATATATATATTTTTTTTTTTCCATCTGCTTACGTGTCGAATCGATGATATCAGCTATGGTTTAATTCGCCATGTATCGTGTCGGCACCCTGCGGTGACGATTTGACACTCGGCGTTGAATTGGTTGATGACAGGTTGATTGTGGATTTTGTCTCTCCTTTCCTTGATCTAGATCATCTATTGATGGCTCGTCATTATTGATTGACGTTGTCGTTTCTCTTGGATTGATTGTTTTGTCGTTTCTCTTGGATTGATTGTTTTGTCGTTTGTTGTTGTTTCT